CCATTTGAAAAAAAATTCAGAAATGAAAACCAAACCCTTGTAAGAAATATGCATAGGCAAGCAAAGGAAATTCCACGTTGGCCATGTAAAAATATATGTCACATTTTGCATCTTGAGTCCATCACCTCTCTGTCAGGAGGTGAGTAGCATTCTTCATCATCAATCTTCTAGAATTGTGTTTAGTCGTTGCATTGATCAGAGTTCTTAAGTCTTTTAATCTTATTTGTCTTTACAGTGTTGTTGTATAAAGTATTCTCCTTGATCTGTTCACTTTATTCTGCATCAGTTCATATAAGTCTTCCTAGGTTTCTCTGAAATCATCCCTTTTTATAATTTCTTATGGTGACATGAAGTTCTGTTACCTTCTTATAACATAATTTGATCAGCCCTTCCTCAACTGATGGGAATGCCCTCTAGTTTACATTCTTTTGCCACTATAAAAAGAGTTGCTATAAATATTTTTGTGCACATAAGCCCTTTTCTTTCTTGGGTTTCTTTTATGCCTCATAGTGATATCACTGTGTCAAAAGATATGCACAGTTTATTAACTTTTTGGGCATAGTTCCAAATTGCTTTTCAGAATGGCAAGGCTACTCCACAGTTCTGCTGATACTGCATTCATGTGCCTGTTTTCTTGCAGCCCCTACCACACTTGTCATTTTCCTTTTTTGTCAGCTTTGCTATCTGAGGGCTATGGGGTAGAACCTTAGAGTTGCTTTAGTTTGCATTTCTGTAATTTTTTGTGATTTTGGAGCATTTTTTCATGTGCTGTTTGTTTACATCCATTGTATTCTCCCTTTGTCATTAGTCATTCATCAATTGACTAATGGCTCTTTTTCTCATAAATTTAAAATAGTTCCCTTTACATTTTGGACATGAGACCTTTATCAGAGAAACTTGCTACAAATATTTTATATAGTTAGCCATTTCTCTTCTAATCTTAACTGCATTCAGCCTATGCTGTTTTTATTTAAATTTATTTTTATTTTCCAATTATAAGCAGTTCTCACTTTACACAAATTTGACTTTACATAAAGAATTCTGAAAGAAAATCGCATTCCAAAAAAACACCTATGTTAACTTTACTGTATAGTTCTGCTCTCTCTCCCTGTCTCTTTCCAATCCTGCCTCTTGGCTAACTCCTCAGCTTCCCACTCCCCTAGAAGAAAAAACAAAACAAAAAACCCTTCACGTGAAAGTAGAACTGACTTCAAGGCCTTCACTTGAGACCTCCAACTTAGAAGAGACTTTTGCTGTACTCTGCTTACCCACCCAGGTGTCTAGCCTCTGTGTGTGTGTGTCTTCTGTCCCTCCACACTTGGGTACCATATATTTGTCCTTGGCCCCTGAATGTCTCCCAACCTCTCCTGTCTGTGTTTGTGTCTGGCCCCCACATGTTCTTCCCCTCCCCTCCTCCACCTATGCCCTACATGTTCTTCCTCTCAGTTCTGGCCAGGCCCCAAAATTCCTGGTCCCAGCCCCCCCTGCTCCTCCTCTCACTTCTCTCTCTCCCGCTCCCATGTGTCCTTGAACCATGTGCCAGCTCACCCTCCATGGGCATGGGGCCCCCTTCCTGCCTCCCTCTTTTCCCCATGTCTGGGGTCAAATTTGATTTATATAGAGGTCTAAGGAACAGTCCACTACATAAAGTGAGAACTGTCAGCAATGACAATCCAATACCTTTTCTTTCCACCTTTCCCCCACCCCCATTGAAAAAGAAAGAAAAACCCTTGTAAGAAATATGCATAATCAAGAAAAACAAATTCCCTCATTGGCTTACCCCCCCAACCTCGTTCTGTACCCTGAGTCTATCACTTCTCTGTGGGAAGGTGAGTAGCATGTCTCATCATTACTCCTCTGGAATTGTGGTTGACTATTGCATTGATCAGACTTTTCTGCTCTCCCTTTATAAATAAGAAGAGAGTGGTGGAAAAAAAAGTGTGCTCAGCATCAGTTCCCTAGGTTTGATGCTGTTGTGTTCCGTCCCCCCTCTCTTTCTCTCTCCCAGAACCCTTATTTTTATTATTTATATTTATTATCTTTCCATTTAAACTTCTCTTCAATATCTACTCTCCATGGTTAAAGTTTGTTTTGTGGGCCTAATCCGTCCCTTACTACTCAACTTCTTACTCTCCCCTCCCTTCTCCTCTTGTTTCCCTACTGAGTGAAATTTATTTTTGCACCCGACTCTATGTGTATATCTATATTCTTCTCCTCAGTCAAATCAGATGAGCGAGGTTCAAGTGTTGTCTGTTCTTCCCCATTTACTCTTCTGCTTTTTTTGTATAGTCTTCTACTCATGCGATCATTTCCCCCTCCTTTTGTCTCTTTTCCCTCAATATATTCCTTTCCTCTTTCCCTTCTTCCTTTAAGATCATTGAAACATAATACAACCACTTCCAGGCCCTCTGTCTTACTAGACTCCCTCTATGACTCCTGATGACGATAGGCTTCTCATATTAAAATATGTACAACAGTTTGTCCTTGTTTAGTCCCTTGTGATTGCTTGCTCGTATTTACCTTTTTCTTTTTTGCTTCTCTTTACTCTTTCTTGTGGGTTTTTATTACAAAAGTCCTACACAGCTCTCTTCATCAAGAATGCTTAGAGGTCCTCTATTTTATTAAAGATTCATATCTCCACCTGTAGGATTATACTTGGTTTTGCTGGCTAAGTTACTTATTCTTGGCTATAAGCCTATATTACCTCCTGGAATATCATGTTCCAAACCCTCTGCTCATTTATAAAATCATGTTTTAGCTCTTTTAAAAATTCTTACTTCATCTCTTTTAGGAATTCTACTGGTACCCAAGATGTGTTTGTTTTGTTTCTGAGGTTTTGCTTTTAGTTATTTTGGAGTCATTCTCTTCTGGATTTGTGTCTTGAGTGTCCCTGTCACCATAATAGCTCTTTATGGTGGGATTGTTTCTTGTTTTTTTTTTTGGCTTGCTCATGCTTTCAGACTACTTCCTGATATTGACCTTGATGTTAGGGCCAGACTTTGCACATTTTCTGGAGGGATGGTCTGGCTGTCTGCATAAGTATTGTGTTATTCCAGTTGGCCTTCTTTCTGTTCCTCACACAATTACACTGATTTGCAGTTTCACTCACAGTGCACCAGAGCACCCATCTTTCAATACAATTCCTCCAACATTGACTATTCCCATCTTTTATCAACTTTACTGATGTGCAGTGTATGAGATGAAACCTCAGTTGTTGTTTCTATTTACATTTCTCTTATTATTAGTGATTTGGAGCATACTTTCATGTGATTGTTAATACTTTGAATTCTTTTGAAATTCATCTTTTGAGAACTGTTTGTTCCTGTCTTTAGACCACATATCTATTGGGGAATGGGTATTTTGTGTGTGTGTGTGTGTGTGTGTGTGTGTGTGTGTGTGGATAGCAAACCTTTATCAGAGAGATATGATACAAAAATTTTTCCCCATTCCACCTCTTCCATCCTTATCCTAAGTGCATTCATTTTGTCTGAGCAGAAGCTTTTCAGTGTCATGTAATCAGTTATCTATTTTATCTTTTGTAATTGTCTCTGTCCTTTGTTTGGTTAAGAATACATCTCCCACTCATAACTGTGAGATATGTATGATCTGTTTCTCTTCCTATTTTTTGTAGTGTGATCTTTAATATTACAAACACCTATCCATTTAGAATGTATTGTGAAATGTAGTATAAGGTGTTTGTCAAAGCCTAGTTTATGCAAATTGCTTTCCAGTTTTCTCAGCAATTTTTTATGAAATAGGGAGTTTTTTCCTAAGTAATTTATGTTTTACATTTTATCAAATACTAGATTATTGAGTTCCATTGTTTCTGATAGTTCCTTGTCTACTCTGTTCCATTTATTTCCTTCTGTTTTTTGACCAGTACTAAATGGTTTTGATGACTGTTGTTTTGAGGTCTGGAAAGTGCTGTTCACCCACTGTCCCTACCTCTTCTTATCATTTCTCTTGTTATTCTGAATCTTTTGTTTCTCCATTGAATTTTGTTATCAAATTCTATAAAGTATCCCTTCAATAATTCGATTAGTATAGCATTAAAAGTGTAAATTCACTTGGGTAGTATTCTTATTTTTCTTATATTGGCATGACCCAGTCATGAGCACTGACTCTTCCTGCAACTATTTAAGTTTTTCTTTATTTCTTCTAGAAGTACTTTGTAATTGAATTTGTATGTCATTTGTGTGTTTCAGTAGACTGATCCCCAGGTACTTTATGTAGTTTGTTGTTATTTGGAATGAGATTTCCCTTTCTATTGCCTTTTGAATTTTGTTGTTATTATATATGAATGCAGTTGATTTTTGAGTCTGCAACTTTGCTGAAGCTATTGTCTTGATGAGTATCTTTGCTGATTCATTAAGGGATGTTCCAAGTACATCATCATCATATCATTAACAAATACGGGTAGTTTTATTTCCTTTTTATCTATTACCATGGGTTCTTAAAGGCTGTACAAGTGGGAGCACAGACTGTTCTGTCAAGTTATAAGTATGGGTCCAATAATGAACTGAAGTTCTTTCATCAAAGGACTAATGTTTAGAAATACTCATCACCAGGTAAACCACAAGTTGAAATTTTTGTTCATTGCAACTCTGTGGCTAGCTACTGAGTTATTGAAGGGTTGCAGACTGTGTTGGTAGAGGGAATACTCCGAACTAATGAAATCCCTAAGCTATTAAAACTTTATACTACATTAAGACTTTCGGGATACCCAGTATATTGCCATTGCCACTTCTCCATTTCCCTGATTTTGTTTCCTTGCTTTTACTATAGAGAAAGAGTTCTTTAGAAGTTACCCTCATTTCTTTCTAAATCTTATCTTTTCTCAGTCTTTTGTGCAGGAAATTCTGAATATTTTATTTTCCTTTCTTCATTCATTTTTATATCTGGGATTAAATGAATATATTTTGTACATGATTTCTTTTTCTTCTTTCAGTGTTCCTGAAACTAATCCTCTGAATTTTCAAATATTTTCTCCTTATGATCAGGGACGCAAGCTTCTCATCATTGGGACCACCAGCCGCAAAGATGTCCTGCAGGAAATGGAAATGCTTAATGCTTTCAGTACCACCATTCACGTGCCTAACATTGCTACAGGAGAACAGTTGATGGAGGCTTTGGAGGTGATGATAAGTTAATGAATTGATCTGTGCATACTTATCTCTAAAATTTTCTGACCAAAGACAATGCAAGTTGTGAATAAATTCATTGTAGGATTCTTGGTAACTTATTTTAGTTATGACTAACACACAGAAAAGTATGGTATTAAGAATACATGTCTTCTGAAAGGGTGGAAAAATAAATGTAATTAGAAGCAAATTCATTACCTACTTCTATATTATGGTTAATATAGGCAGCACAGAGAACTGAAATTCCTCTTTCACACACTTAGAAACTCTGGGAGCAACATGCTAGTAAATTACGTGGAGAAAGAAGTATGGATTGTGAGAGGTAGTAAAATAATTAAGAGTAAATTACCTAGAACATTTGTGTTGGCTTTTAGCATACTTACTTGCACCTAATCAGATTCATTGTTAGCATTTGTATTTCTAATATAAAGCATTTTACAGAAGCAACTGCAAAATTTTAGAGACTTTGTAGAATGAGAATGACTCTCAAGACCCCTTGTAGGGTCAATTGTTATTTAAGTTTTAAAATATTTCAATTTCAGTGGGGATTCTGTAATCCTTGAACCTAACCCTAGTTTAATTATTTTTACTTTAGCAAGAGTATTCTTGTACACATCCCTACATTAAGTATCTGTTAAATGATTTTGCTAATTATAATGACCTGGTGACAAAGGACTTGAATGTCAGCTCCTTGAGAGCTGAGACTGTTTCATTTTTGTCTTTGCATTCCCGTCACCTAGCACAGTGCCTGACACATAATAAGCACTTAATAAATTCTTGTTCGTTGGTTGATTATTTAAAAGCATCTCCATGTGATCATTACAGCTCATGAGTTCTGCTGAATGCTAGAGTGGAATAACCATTATGACTTAACTGCATAGTCTCATTATTATATTTTAAAAATCCTTTTAAGAGTGAGAAATCCCAAAAAAATGTCAATATAGTTGGTGTATTTTAGCTTGTGTGCCTTTAATGTTTGTGTGAGGAATAAGTATATTGTTTTCCTCTTTTTTTTTCCTTTGCAAGGGTTCTATAGGAGAATGAAACACCAATTTATTCTGTTATAATACATGCAGCATTTTTCTTGAAGTAAAAATTGGGTTTTTCACTGTGATAATTGTTACATATTTTTGCTAAAAAATTTTTCTGTGAAATTACAACCAGTGGTAAAATGATACCAACTTTTGTTTAAAAGAAGTATTTATTCAGGATTAGAACTTATGTAGAAAGTGAGATCAAGGTTTACTTTAATGTATTATGAGAAGACCATAGCAATTTAAATATCAATACAGTGTTCTAATCATTCTCTTAAGGATTAATGTAAAAATTAACTATGCTTCTGATGTGGATTTTAGATACCATTTAAGTATTTTTTGTTTTCATTTTTCTAGCTTTTGGGTAACTTTAAAGATAAAGAACGTACCACTATTGCACAGCAAGTCAAGGGAAAGAAGGTCTGGATAGGAATCAAGAAATTACTAATGCTGATTGAGATGTCACTACAAGTAAGAGTCATCATTGATATACCATTAAAGGATTTATTATTTTATTTTACAAAGGTTTAATTTTAGCAAGCTAACAATATTATTATATTCTTTAGGTCTTGTGTAATATAGTTGTTTGCCTCTGAGATTGTGAAATATAATCTGATGAGTATTCTTTCCTTCTTTTTGTTCAAACAAATAGGAAACATTAGAGCTAACATCACCTTAGACATCACCTAGTCAAGCTTCCTCCTTGTACAAATGAGATTTTATCCCCAAGAAGCTTTAGTTATTCTCTCTTGGACTTTACAGATGGAAAGCACCTTAGAAAACATCTTCTTCAACTCCCCTCTTTCACAAATAGGGACTTCGAGCCCCAGAGAAGGGAAGTGACTTGCCCTGGATCAAAAGCTAATGAGTTGTATTGTTGAGCTGAGAATCCAGGGCTCTGGGGTTACTGTCTGTTGCATGTTACACTACTTACCTTAACTGGATTATGGTTTAATTATTTATACTTTAGTACAAAAGAATATCTCAATTGTATGGTTATCTTCAATTTTTTAAATCATTCAGCACCTATTCTGAGCACCTGCTACATGTACAGTAGTATATTAGGTACTCACATTAGTGAGTTAAGCCTGTACAGAAATTATTTTGACTAGGGCCAGTCCTAAGATAAGTCATGAAATTTCTTTACTACCTTTCTGTTCCCACCATCAGTGTTCTTTTTCCATCCTTCTGGAATTCCTCTTCTACCTTCTGTTCCTCGTGTAGCTTTTCTCTATGCTTATCCTGTGTCCTATTGAATAACTCTTCTGGCAAACTTATTTTTAGTTTAAAAAAAAAACTAGTCCCTGCTAAGGTGTTCTACAGTATTTCAAAGGATTTGGGAATATCCTAATGTGAGTATTCACTTCAGAAGTAAAAATTGGAATCCATCTATGCCTTCTCTTATTAATTTTCCAAAGGAAACTCCACCTACCATGCTGAAGGCTTTCCTCTGGGGCTTCTTACATTACAGTGGTCCCAGTGCAACATGAAGAATGTCCTCTCAGTTATTGCCTATCCTCCATATATGACCAGCCCACTTTCTTTTCCAGTCATACATCTCTTTGATCTCTTCTATATGGCTTGTTGTACACAGTTCTGTAACTGTGTTATGCTGTAGCCCTTTCATGTCCACTGTGTGTCTCACTGTTGTCCTTTGGTGACTTCTACTTTAGATTCTCCAGAAGTTGTGATATTCCATGATTCACAACCATAGAACACCACCAGAGATATTGATATTAGTAAGATTGGCCTTGGAGTTATGGGAAGGTAATGGCATGTTAAGACCTGTAGAAGCCGAGATTACCCACAAACACCCTAGAAAAAAATGAGAATGTAGTAGAAAGAACAATGATAAAATTAGAAAAATATAGCTACAGACTCCTCTATCCAGTCCAGAACTGCACAGAAGAATCCGAGAATCCAGCAGAAGCTTGGAGCAGAAAAACGCTGGGGCAACCAGCAGCCAAAGCATGGACCCATACCAGCTCTTGGTTGTTCAGTGCCCAGAGCTTAGTGCCTGGGCAACCTGCCAAAGAAACAACAGGAGATGGGGCCAGGCGAGCGCTCGGCAGCACAGGCAGCCAGGCAGCCCCACTCCCAGCACTGCAGCCAGGTAACTTGGGACCTAGGAAACCCATACCCAAGCCACAGAAGTAGAAAGGGTCCATCCAGCGCCTCAGAAACAAAGGCCTGCTACCAGCGCTATCAATAGCATCTGGGTGGGGACCTATCAGGCTCACAACAGAGCCACATCTAGGTTTGGAACTATGTGAAAAGAATGAGACAATAAAGGTGCCAAGGAAAAAAACCTAAGTTAAGTCACTAGGAAACTGAGCCAAAAACCCAATAATTCCTGCAGAAAGCAGGGGCAAGTCTTATCCACTGTACAGGACCAAGGCTTGCCCATGCAAGAGTTAAGAAGAACAAAATCTCATCCAAACACAAAGTCCCAGTTCAGAAATTGAGTCTGGAGATATGAGTAAATAGAACAAAATGCTGAATATAATGAAGAAATATCTTGGACTCAGAGAAGCTCAAGAGGTAAATCCAAAAAAAAAAAAAAAAGGAGTTATAACACTACATGTCCAAATAAAGCCTCAGAGAAAAAAATGTCCTGGCTCCAAGAAATAAAGGAGTACCTGGAAGAAATGAAATAAAAGATACAAAATGCAGTATTAAAGAAAATAACAGCTTATGGAGAAAAAACTAATTTTTTAGGGAAAATTAACACTTAAAATACACAATGGTAAGTCTTGACCTAGAATTGAACTCCCTAAAAGTTAGAATGGGCCAAACCAAAAGCAACAACTTTTTAAGATGACAAAAAATATTAAAGTAAATTTAAAATGGAAAATTAAAAGATTGAAAATAAAAGCAAAAGAAAATGTCACTACTCTTAGAATATTTGGACTACGTGGACATCATGACCAAAAACAAAACAAAACAATCCAGATACTATATTTGAAGAAATCATAAATAAAAGCTGGAACAAGGGGGCAAAATGAAAATAAAAAGAAACCACTAGTCACCTCCTAAAAGACGTACCAAAAAAGAAAACTTTCAGGAATGTGTCTATATTAGAATGTAAACAAATGAATTGTATGCATCCTATTATAGGATGAAAAAAAACAATTGTCCCCTCAAAACCTTACTGTCTTCAAGGACAAATAACATAAATATAAAATATATATAAATTTAAGTAAGTCAAGCAGAAGGCTTGGAGGTAGCTTTGTTCTATTGTTTTATGGTCCTAGGAGAAGGAAATGGGAGGGAGGAATAAAGGAATATCCTGGGAAGGAAAAGAAGAAGGGAGCAAGACCATAACCGAAATCCAAGGATTCCAGTTCAAAGGGGAAAAAAAATACTGGAAGCTACCAGAAAGAGTTGAGGTAAAGTGCTGAGGAGCCACAATTAGGAACACACAAGACTTTCAGAATAAAGAGAGGAAAGCCTATAATAAAATATTCCCAAAAGCAAAGATGAAGGTTTGCAACCAAGAATAATCCACCCAGCAAAACTTAATTACTATGGGGGGGGGGGGGGGGAATGAACCTTTAATGAAAGAGAGAACTTCCAAACATCCTGATAAAATTAGTTGAACTGAGCAGAATTTTTGAAGTACAAATGCAGAAGTCATAAGAAACATAGAAAGGCAAATATATTTGATCATTGGAAGGAACTATATGATGATGGATTGTTTATATTTCTGATATAGGGAGGAAAAACAATTGTCTCAGAATCTTAATGTCTTCGAGTATCATAGGTAAACCTAAATAAATCAGGTAGAAGGTCTCTAGGGGTGGTTCTGTTCTGTTCTGTTTTGTGGTCCTAGAAGAAGGAAATGATTGGAATAGAGGAATATACCGAGAAGTAAAGGAGAGGGAAGAGGAGGGAACTTATTTTCTTACATAATAGTAGTGCACAAGATGAAGACTATGAGAACATAAAGGAAAAGGTCCAGGAAACAGTTATCCCATGAACCTCATTTTTATCAGAACTGGACCCAAGAAGGTTGAATATACTCACAAACATGCTTGTAAAAACACATATCAACAACATAGTATAAAAATAAATTAATCTCAGCAGGGGGAATAGGAAGAAACAGAGAGGGAGAGATAGAGGGCAAGATAGGAAAGGGAGTAGTCATAAACAAAACAAACTTCAACATCAGAATATATAGCATGAAAGGCACGGTAAAAGGAAAGAAGAAAAGATATGATTGTGGACTAGGCAAAGGGAAGAAAAGGTAAGTGGAACAGAAACATCCCTTCAATTATACATCACTCTTGTTAAACAAAATCTTCCTTTTTTTTTTCATTACCTTCTTTGTAAAGAGGGGAGCACAGAACATAAAGAAGTACAAGAGGACAGAATGGAAAGAAATACAAAAGCAGCATTCTTCCATGAACATAAATGTGATGAATTCATCCATAAAATGAAAGAGGATATAGCAGAATGGATTATAAAGTAGAACACAGTGATATTTTGTCTACAGGAAACACATTTGGAACATAAAGATTCACATGGAGTTCAAATAAGGGGTTGGAGTAGGATCTATTATGTTTCATATGAAGCCAAAAAAGCAAGGATAATAGTCATGATTTCAGATAACAGTGAAAAAAAACCTGATAAAAGAGATTTTCAGGAAAACTCTGCTGTGTATAAAAGCTTTATAGGTAATGAACAGGTAATATTTTTATACACACACACACCAAGCTGGTATAGTATCTAACTACTTAAGGAAAACTTGCAGGGAGAACTAGACGATAAAACTATAATGGTGAGGGACCTCAGTGTATCCCTTTTAGACCTAGGTAAATATAACAAAAAGATGAACAGTGAAGAAGTTAAACACCTGAATAGAACTTTAGGGAAATTAAAGCCGATAGATTTATGGTGATTACTGAATGGGAACATAGTTAACATATTTCTCAACTGTTCTGGCATCTTTACAAAGATAGACCATGTATTGGGGCATAAAAAACTCATGAACAAATGCGGAAAAGCAGAAATACTAGACACTCTATTGAATATAATACAATAGAAATTATACTCAATAAAGAGTCTTTGGAAGGAAGATTAAAAATTAGTTGGAGATTAAATCATTTAATCCTAAAAATTGATGGATTAGAGAATAAAATGTAGAATCAGTAGAAAATTCTGCAAAGAAAATAACAGCAATGAGGCTACATACTACAAATTAAGGGATAGCACTAAAGCAGTCCTTAAGAGAAAATTTATGTCTCTAAAATAGGGATTCTTAACTTTTTTGTGTGTCATGGAGCCCTTTGGCAGTCTGGGGAAGCCTTTGCACCCCTCCTCAGAATGATGCTTGTTGCCTACATTCATACCTGAAGGAAATGCTAAATTTCATTTAGAGGTTAGTGAAAATAAAGATTCTTTTTTTCCCTGGATAATTAGTGGATCTACTGAAATCTATACATGGACCCTCAATTAAGAACTCCTGTTCT